TGAGCGTGTGTAAACACGGACGCACGCACGGGGCTATGCGATGGTGCAAGCGTGAACGCGCTGGGCGTTGGTGCACACGGAGGTTGGCAGCAGGGCATTTGTGCGCGACCATCGTTGTTGGCACTTGTAAGCCTGCATGATGTATCTTATTGTGAGTTTTGTGCAATGTTGATGGCCTTGACTGTGCGGTGATTCTCTCATCTTAATATAATGTGGTCTAAAGTCTCACAGCGAATTATGATCATATCAAATTTAATTAGTCATTCACCTTAGTCATGCTATTGCTGTTCGTTTCCTCACAACTAAGGGAAAATTAGGTCAAGTATACACTGTTCTCGCTGATTGACATCTCACAATAACAAAAAGATAAGTAAAAAGCTTTTAATTGGATTGTGGTAACTATTTCAAACCTAAAATAATAAAATAAGAATTCAACACACAATAGAAGTTAAAATGAAACTCCTGAAGCATTCAACACAGATAATGTGTGAAAAGACGGGAAACGAATTGGAATGTAAATCGAGGGAGATTTCACTCTCATGCTCTCACCCAATGCTTGGTAAGCTAAAGTAACCCAAAATAACCAAATGCCCAGACCGTCACAGCTCTCTCTCGAGATACCCAAAGATGCTTTCACCCCTCTCCCATTGTAATCAAAACAAAAAATAAAAATTAGTCTATATGCGCAATAAAGTGAGTCTCATCTCTGAGTACTCACTATCCTACTTAAAGAAAGGAATCTACAGCTAATAGAAGCATTCACACTCAACAAATACTCTCCCGAGCCTCAAGCAAGTAAGCACACACTAAATTGGTTGGCCAAACGGACTGAGTGTGATAAAAAATAATAAATGCACTTCTATTAAATCAGCCATTAAAGGTCTAAAGCATAGCAAACATTAAAGCTACAACGAGCTCATCCCCTCCGAAGGTGGGGTTTAATTCATGACGTAAAAGAAAGAAATGAAAAAGAAGAAGAAAATCCTCATTTCAGAAGTAGACAGTAGAGAGATGAGAGTTTCCTCAATGGCAGCAAGTGGGCCACGAGAAAAACAGTTACTCTTTGTAGAGATGAGAATGACGCTATTGTAGCTATAGTGACAAAGGTTGCTATCCCAATATATATCTTACTCATCTCTTCGAGTAGAGACCCATGCTATTCTGGAAGTAGTCCAATTAGTCATTCACCTTAATCTGAATAAGCTAGTGTTCAAATCTAATTCTCTTACAGTAATCAAGATGATCTTGGGCGAGAGTAAAAACATCGGCGAGGGCGGTACTTGGATTTAGGATACTCAGCGAGCTATCATCTCTTGATTGGAATTTATAAATAGAATTATTTTTAATAAAAATGAAAAGCCATAACTTCTTATGAAATGATGTATGTTTTGTAAAGGACATAATAACCTTAGCGCTAAGAGGTAACATCGGTGAATGAATATGTCCTTTAATAAAAAAACATAACTTTACATTAAAAAAAACATGACTATTTGAATGACTACAAATAGTGGCTCTTTTAAGTTTTGAAACACAAAAATATTCCATCAAAATTCTCTTATGTTTTCCTCATTACTTAAAGTTCGTTGAGCACTGTGCATGTAGTGCTGCATTCACAGGTTGGTTATCCGTTCTATCCTAGAAGACAATTGTTCGTGAAGCCTTGATCACCATAGAAAGAACAAAATTCAAAATTTTCTTTAGAAAACAATGTTACTATTGGGATATAATAATAATAATAATAATAATAATATATAATAATGCTTCTAACCCTTCGAGTTTGGGGGATTTCTGGCCTCTTTCTTTCTGTACTGTGCTTTATAAATGTATCATGAAAATTCTAGCTAATCGTTTGATGATTTGGCTCCCTAGTTTTATTAGCCTGAACCAGTCTGTGTTCGTGCCAGGGCGTCGTATGGTGGATAATATTCTGTTGTGTCACAACTTTGTGGGTGGTTATCATCTGAATAAGGGTGTTCCTCGGTATGTGCTAATGGTAGATCTCCACAAGGCTTATCTGTTCATTAGGATTTTTCTCTTCCAGCCTGATTTATGAATTGGATTCGGGCTTGTATTACTTCCCCCATGTTTTTTTGTCTCTTTGAATGGTGTGCTTAAAGCATACTTTCTACGGTGTCGAGGGTTCAGTCAAGGCGATCCTCTTTCCCTGTATCTTTTTGTTATGGCCATCTAGGTGTTGTCTTAGATGCTGAATAGGCCTTCAATGGGGTTCTGGTTTTATTCAAAGTGTGATCATGTTTGTCTGACACACTTATGTTTTGCAGATGACTTGATGATTTTCTCGCACGAGGATTTCGATTCTTTTATCTTTGTAAAATATGCTTTGGCCTCGTTCGGTGATTTGGTAGGTCTCGTTGCAAATACTCGAAAGAGCTCGTTTTTCGAGGCTCCTGATGTTGAGGTGGAGCAGTTGGCTGTCTTCATAGGTTTTTCGGTAGGGTCGCTTCCTGTGTGCTTCTAGGGGTTCCGCTTCTTCCGAGCAGGTTATCTCATCGCTTTCGTCACCCTTTGCTTTAGCGGATTGTGATATGATCATATTTAGGCAAGAGATCCAAGAATCAACCTACGTTAGTGAAGAGGAAGATAAAGATGGGAAGCTCCCTAAAAGGAGGATGGAATTCAAAGACGATCCAAGAAAAATGCTACGATCGGATAACAAGCCGACCGCACGAACATTGACTACACGGCTCACCCTGCCATCACGGGCTAAC